CATGGGCAAGAAGGCTGGGGGAGATTTGAGCCTGTTTGTCACCCAAAAAGCTTGACTCTTTGTAGACACTCAGTAAGGTATGTTGCACCGAACTAAACTGAGGTGGAGCTTGAAGGTACAGGAGAGAGGCAAATGATGACTCAGGCCGGGGAGAAGGGGCTGAGAGCACAAATACTCTTGAAAGGAGACAGGCATACTTCTTCATGAAAATGAATGGAAAAGGGGGAGGCAAAGAGGCTGGGTGTAGAATGTAGGGTTTATTGGCTAGAATGGGAGGGGGATATTTCTGCAGAGACAGTCATGCATAGTTTAATGATAGGGACACTACTCTGAGAAATGCATTGTTGCTAGGTGATTTCATTGTTGTGTGATCAGCATGGAGTGTAATGACATGCCTAGATGGTAGGGTTTGCTATACACCTAGGCTACGTAGAATGGCTTATTGGGACCACTAGCATATATGTGGTCAGTCATTGACCAAAACATCCTCAAGTGCTGCATGACTGTCATAGGGCTAGGAGATGAAGCACTTGTATGCTTTTTATTCTCTTCAGAGGATTTCAGGCTTAGCTCTGACCCCAGTTTATGACTTATCTGGAGACCATAGATAAACTATTTAATAGTTGGTGGGTGCTTACTTCAAAAATTGTTTTTATTTCTTGGGCTAGGAACTAGGTAAGTCATGTTGAAAAACAAAATTCACAATTTTAGAGATCTAATTGGCTTTATTTAATGATTCATTAAATGATTCATGAATTGGGCAGCATCCCATGCAGATACTACTGGTAGTACTATATAGGCTTATACAAAATGGAGGGTCTTTATAGGCAGAAAAGGTTATGTGCAAAACAAAAGATTATTTCCATGAAACTATGGAAATAGTTTCATGGGGCAGTGAGGGGCAATGAGGGGGCTTTATGAAGTATCTGGCCTCACTGGCACTGATTGGAAACTCCAGCTTGATTGGCTTAGAATTGCATTTTTGGGAGAGGGTGAAACTAGTGAGATGGGGATCCATTGTGAACAACTCCATTTTGAAACCTTTTTTCCTAAAGATTTATTTATTTACGCATACAAGAAATGGGGTATAGGCCAGAGGTGCAGAGGGTGAGAGAATTCCTCAGAGACAGATGGAGAGCAGAACAGGCAGACTGACTGAAATACACTGCTGAGGGGAGCAGCAGGCAAGACAGGAGAGGTCTGATGTGCCAGCTGGGTCACCTCCCTGGTCAGGGATCGAACTTGTGCTGCAGAGCCTATGGATAACTTCATAGTGCTGAGATTTAACCACTTGGGCCACCAGGAAGGCCCTATTTTCTCCCCATTTTTAGAAGGCAGCTTGTTACAATTACGTCTAAAATGAAAGTATATAGATTATGAAGAACATTGACAAAGGGACCAACATCTCCTTTGAGGAATAACCACTCATCTGGCCCAGAAAAATATAACTTGCAATCACTGTGGACACAGGTTAGAGATGGGGCCACAGGTAACTACAGACCCTCCTGGATGACCTTAGCACTTTACTAGAGTTTCGTTATAAGAGGCCACAAAGCCCTTTCAATTCTTCCAAATAACAGTATTAGTTCTTAGTTCCTACTTCCTGTGTCCCAACTGTGTGCTGGGTGTTACACATACATTGTTGCAAATCTTCGGAACAACCCTACCAGGGAAATTGCATTGTTTCCATTTTGCTGCTGAAGAAACTGCAGCTCAGAGACCTGAGCACTTTCCTCAAAGTCTCTGATCAGTAGTAGAATTTGAGCCCAGGGTGGGCGGAGACATTTCCCCACACCCCAGAGACCACTATGTGCTGCTAAGATAAAGGTAGGGATGGGGAGGTGAGGTCCCAAGCCAGCTTCAACCTGAGCAATTTCCCATTTGTTACCTTTGCCTGTGGCACTTGGAGGTAAACTTCATGAGCAAAGATTATAGAGAAGGAAGAAAGTGTGGAAGCCGTTGCCCTCCACAGAGGTGTTTGAACTCCTCAGCTGAAGCGTGCCTTCTCCAGAAATGCTCCGTGTGCCAGTTGTCTCCCCTGGCACATCTATCCTCCACAGGACTGGCAGAGTGATTTTTCTAAAAGCCCATCATGTCACTCCTCTGCTTAAAAAACTTCTATAGCTCCCAGCTTACTTCTAAAATCTGTGTTCTGGGCCTCCCTGGTGGTGCAAGGGATTAAGGCACAGCACTATGAAGCTATCCGCAGCTACTGCAGCACGAGTTCGATCCTTGGCCAGGGAGCTACCCACATGGCACAACAGACCTCTCCTGCCTCGCCCGCTGCTCCCCTCAGCAGTGTATTTCAGTGGATCTGCCAGTTTTGCTCCCCGATCTGTCTCTGGTGAATCCTCTCAACTCCACACACTTCTGGCCTATACCCCAGTTCTTGTATGCATAAATAAATAAATCTTTACAAAAATTGACCATTTAAAAAACAAATAAATAAAATCTGTGTTCCCTTTTTAGCATGACCTACAAGCCCCTGACTGATCTGGACCTCCATCCACCTCTCCAGCTTTGCCATCAACTTCTCCCTAGCTTCCATGCTCTTGCTAAACTGGCTTACCTGCATTTCCAGGTACTTGCTAAGTACACCCATATGTACCCCAGGGACTCTGAGCAGAGGAACCTCCCCCTTCTCCACTGACCAACTCGCATTTACTCCTAGTGCCTCAGATCAGGCATGACTTTCCACCCAGAGAATTTTTCTTGTACCTTTCCACGGGTCAGGCCCCCCCTCCCTTGGTGCGGCACCCCTCCTCCCACAGCCCTGCTGCTTGCCTGTCACAGTCCTGCTTCTAACTATCTCCTTGTCTTGGCCAAATGCCCCACTAGAATGCAGATTTGCATCATCTGCTTAACTCAGTTTTGCTCCCCTGGAAAAAAGTTTCTCGGGGAATTTGTTCTTTCTCTTGGGGTAAGCATACCAGGCTTGCCTCGAAAAGCATACCAGAAATGCCAATGGCTTGATGTTAGGCATGGAGAGTTTTCAGCTTGGGAGTTTGTCCCCTGCAGCCAAACCTCAATTTTACATGGAGGAGGTAGGCTAGGCAATATCACATGATGAGAAAAATCTGTGGGGAAGAATCGCTGACTACACGAAAATTCTAGAAAGCTGCTTTCAACTCTTTTAGCTGACTTGGTTTTCATTTGGGAAAGAGCAGGGAAGATCTTGTCTCAGGTCCTCAATCTGCTAAGAGTTAACATGCTCAAGTTTAAATTTTTTCTGTGAAGTAGGGACCACTGTTATGTGTCCTTTGAATGCTGGGCAAAGGCACTCACCAGTCTTCCCTCCAAGCCAGCAGCCCATAGACTCAGCCATGTGGCAGGAAGGCCTGCCCAGACAGCCTTCATCAAGCCCAATGCACATTGGCAGCTGTCCAGGGGGAGACTGTGGAGCAGAAACCACAGTTCTGCATCAGTTAGCCAATTTCCATCTATAAAATGGGTACAGGGAGCGGAAAGCGGGTATTTATGGCCAATGCCAATACCGAATGCCAAAATCCAGGGACTGGTCATCCTCTTCCCTTCAAACATCGAAGTTCGTTGAGAGGAAAAGGAAATGATAAATTACACTGTGTGACTATGTTCAGGTGTAGTTCCTAGAGACATGGGGCCGGCTGAAAAATATGAACAGGAAGGAAGATTTGGATCAGCTCATGGATGAGAGGAACTGAATGGGTTATTAAAGGGAGGTGAGCACAGAGGGGAATAAAGAGAGCAAATAGGAAGGCAAGGAACTTGAATGGATGGTGTTCCTAGACTGCATTCTGTGTGACTCAGTTTCTCTCTGGTGTCCAAGGGCTGGGATGGGAGAGCTGGGGAAGCAGCAGTTCATTACAAGGACTACAAGCCTCCAGGGATACCAAGCTACTTTAAAAATGTGCTGATCTGTTAGGCAGCAAGGACGTGGAGCTTTTGCTCGTTTGAGCCTGTCAACACTAGTATATTCCATACATTGCATGCGATTTGTATGTATTATAGATTGTACAATAAGCTGTATGTCTACTCTAAATATATAAGTGAAGTTTAAAACAATACTCATGATTGAAGCCCTTTGTAGGAGGAAAGTGCCAGCTGGGTGTGTCTCATTGGAGGGCAGATTTCAAGGTAACTCAGATGACTCACCAGGAAATATCAGACATGTACATTTGCGGATTTGCTTCTTTCCTTACTCTCCACAGACAATTGCTCTGGATGAGAGACTGTGCTGGAGATCAGGTGTAGACACCAAAGAGCCCAGATACAGGTGAACTGTGTGTCTTTATTCAGAGCCAAGGGGAAAGTAGCTTTTTCAGCGCACATGTGGCCTTTGCTCTGAGAGTGAGGGCCAGAACCCGCCCTGGGTCTGTAGCTGGTTGTCATAGGTTGGTGACCTTGTCCTTGCAAACTAGGGATGTTTCCCCCTGCTGGTTAATTAAAAAAAAAAAAGTAAGTCAAAGGACAGATTGTTGGGTGAAAGGAAAATAGATGCCACTTTAATGTGCTTAAGAAGTCATCGGTGATACAGTGGAAAAGGTACGGGTCAGGTCTGGTTGTGTTAGCAGACGGTTGCCAGGGACTGACTCTGCTGGCACAAAGTGAGTGGTTAATAGCCAAGTCAAGTCTACAGTTAGGTGCTTAGATGCATCAGTGGTTTACAATCTTAACTTATTCTCCTAGGAAATGTTTTCCAAAAAACTCAGAGCTTCTGCCTGCCCAGAAATGGATACTGGAAGCTGAAATTTGCCGCTGCAAAGAGGAACAAGTTCTGCTCCCACTCCTTAGCCTTACAGTTTAGGGATGCAGTGCTAAGACAGCTTGGTCTTTGCTCTCTGGCTCGCTCTCTCTCTCTCTCAAGAATGCTCCGGTCCCCGGATCTCCGGGTCGGTGGTGCCAGGAGACCCCGGACAGATACCTGAAACAGACCCGGAGGTGGTCAGCTCCTCGCGGGTCCAGCGTGCTTGGTTGTGGCCACAGCAGCGTCCCAGGTGCCGTCCCTTTGGCGGGACCCCGGATAACCCAGTCTCTGGCGATGTCTAGTCTGGGCTTGCCCTCAACGGTCCTGGAAGAAGGGGAATATATGTCGGAGAAAGCCATGAATATGCGGCACCCGCTTGCCAGTGGAGTCCTTCTTGCTGGGCGACGCCGCTGCTCTTGTATCCATGGCCATGGCGCCCATGGCGCTCTGGGTCCGTCGCAGCGGCCGTGCGGAGTCGCCGCCGCCGCCGCTGCTGTTGTTGTTGGCGTTGTTCCACGGGTAGCTGTCCGCGGGGCCCCAGTCCTCGGCCCCCAACAGGTCCCGTAGTCCTTGGGGCGCGTCGGGCCGTAGGTAGTGGCTGGCCCGGTGGCCGCTGTGGTCGCGGCGCGTGGGGTCAGCGCCCAGGGCGCCCACCAGCACCTTGATGACCATGTCGTGGCCCTGCATGGCCGCCAGGTGGAGGGCGTGAGGCCGCCGCTGCCCTGCACGCTCACGTCGAGCTGCAGCCCCCGGAGCCGGGCGAAGTCGTGCACCCTGATGAGGTCCTCGTGGCGCCCGTGCTTGGCGAGCCAGTGCAGCACCGTGTAGCCGCTAATAGGGTCGACCTTCAGCAGCAGCGTCGGCTCCGCTTCCAGCTGTTCCCACAGTGCCTCGATGCAACCCTCGGCGGTCGCCAGGATCCAGGCGTGCTCCGGGGCTCCAGACACAGCCTGCTGCCGCCTGCCCCGCTCGACCCTCCCAGAGACTGCTCCTCAGCGCGCTCCTCCGACGGCCACCCGGCGGGCGCCGCCCCCTGCAGCCCCAGCAGCTCGAGCAGTCCTCGCCGGCGCCCGGTGAGCGTCATCGTGCCGTAGAAGGAGGACTCCCGGGAGGAGGCGGCGGCGACGTGGCCCCGTACCTGCCCAGGCTGCCGGTGTCCCCTCGCGAGAGCCGGGGCTGCGGAGGCTTCCGCACGGTCTGCGCGGTGGGGACCTGCGAGGCCTTGGGTGCCGGCTTCGCGGCCCTTCGGGGCTGGGCCATGGTCGTGGAGGTGCCGCCGCGACGGGTCCAGTGTCTCGCGTTCGCTGCCCTTCCCGGGCCCCGCCGGGAGAGGAACTGGCGCTGGCGCGGTGGAAGGAAGCGGCTTGAGCAACTGGGCTCCGAGGGAGGGAGCGAAGGAGGGAGGAGAGGGAGGGAAGGCGCACGAGAGTGCAGGGAGGCCCCCGGCGCGCGCTGGCCTGCAGGGGTGCGAGCTCCGGCCAAGTCGCCAAGGCGAGCCCCTGCCGGCACCGCGGGGTCCGCGGCCACCTCAGCTGCCCGGGGCTGCCTGCGGCCCCGCCCCAAACCGCCAGGTGAGCCGGGCAGCCCCGCCTGCCAGGGAGCCGGCCGCCGCGGGCCGCGCGCGGGGAGGGCAGCGAGCACCGCCGAGCGCCTCCCGGAGCGGCCCCGCGGCCCCAGCAGCCGCGTTCTCAGCATCCCAACAACGGCCGGCTGATGGGGCTCTAGGGCGCCCCCTCCCCGGCGGGCCGACCTTGGCTGCCAGCCGAGGCCCCGCGGAGGAACGCGAGCCTTGAGCCCCAGGGCGCTCGCTCCCGCCCCCTTCCTCGGCCCTTCCGTCTTATCGCCTCAGGACTCTCTCGCGCTGCACTTTGTCCCGGAGCCGCCTTTGTCCGGAGTCTCGCATTCTCCGAAGGCGGCCGGGCGGCCCCATGTGACCGGACTCGCGGGCCCTGCCCTTTGGGTGGCCTTGACCTCCCCGCAGCTCCCGGGGCTGCCCGGGATTCCTGCGGAGAAACCCGAGAGCTGGGCTCCGGCAGAAGCCCTTCCAGGGAACGGAGAGGCTCTCCCCTGCTTCCTCGCGGCTCCCAGCAACGCTCTCCACCCTCTTCTCCCTGGTTCCCAGGTTGCCCTGAAGCTGCTGGTACAGGTGAATCTGAGTCCGCGGCCACGGAACCCCTGCCTGCTTCCGAGAAGCATCCCTGCCGTTCGCCGAGCAACCTGCTGATTTCGGTGAATTCAGAGCTCCGGGGCTTTTAAAAGAAGAGCAGGCTTTACCTTTTCACTCCTAACACTGGCCTCCTCTTTGCTCTTCCCTACCCTCATTAAAGGCACTTGTTACCTCCTTCCTCCCTCCCCCGCCCCCCACGTTAGGAGGTTTCTCAGTGAGTAACCAGTGGGAGCCATAGAAGGTTCTTGAGCCACAGTAGGACACAGCCAGTTCAGGTGGTGTCTAGGAAGATGATTCTTGGAAAGCCAGAGGCAAAAAGCCAGGAGACTATTTCAACAGACTAGCCCAGAAAGGATGGGGGCTCAGGCCAAACCAGCCCGCTGCCCTAGGCCCAACAGTGATGGGAGGTGACTGGTTTTCTGCCTTGGCCCTCAACTATTTGGAATCAGCTTTAAATATCTTGAGCTTTCCTTCATGACAACCTATTCATTTGTCAACCAGTTGTGAACATTCCTACATGCCAGACACCTGGCTTATAAATATAAATAACATTGTATATAACACAGAGGCTTTATATATGTTAATTCTTTCACTCCACAAGGACCTCAAGCACTAAGTGTCCTTACTATCCTCAGTCTGCCAGAGAGGTTAGCCCACTAGTCCAAGGTCACCCAGCAGGAAGTTGCAGAGCAGGTCTGTATGACACCGTAACCTTTGTTCTGGCACAGAAGGATTGCATTCAAGCCAGACTTATCAAGTGCAAAACAATCAATCAAGCCCCAGTTCCAGCTGAGTGCATGAACTTGTGCTAACCTGAGTCTATCTTGAACTTGCCCTCCTCTGCTTAGAATGCCCTCTCTCTGGTTCTGTCTAGTGTGGTTCTTCCCTGTCCTTCAAGGTTGGCTGCCATTTCCACCTCCTCCAGTAAGCCTCCTCTGGGGTGACTTCTTTCCCTCCCCCAGCCCTCTGTACTATTCCGTTCCTCTGGCTCCTGGCACTGACTGCTCTGACGTGCCAATTCAACTGTAAACTCCCTGATGACCATGTCATACTATGCTTGTGCATCTACTAGGTATGCAAGAAATGTGTTACTTGCTCTGGCTTAGCAGCCAGGAAAAATGTGATCGTGTGTGGATGGGGGAGGGCACCGTGCATGCACACATGTGTATGTGTGTGGAAAGAGGTACATCTGTAGCTGAGCCCTTATGACCACTCCCACATCCCTGCCCCAGCCTGGATCTGCAGGACACCAAAAGCAACTCACATTTGGTTTATTCATTAAAGGGTAGTAATCAGTGGCTGCTTCACTGAGCAGAGTAGCCAAAGTTGCCTCCCGGCCTTTGCTGACTCCTTAGCCACCAGGCCCAGGCCGAGTGGGCCCCAGGCTTTCAGGCTTTCATTTTCAAAATGAACCCTAACTGACAAGCAGCTACTTCCGTTGCTCTGGAAACTCCCCTCTGCAACCCCAAATCTGTAAACACCAAACCACACACATGCACACATACTTACAGAGGATACAAACAGCTGCAGCAATATTTTTTAATCAAAATGCCAACATGGTGAACTCAGGATGGGAGAATGCTTGGACTATTAATTTTCCTTGCCACTAAGCAGGCAATTCCCTGCCCGATCGCACTAATAATATCTCTGGTTCCAGTTCAAAGACTCAACAGGCAGTCGCCTGACCAACGCCACAGACCCATACACACGTGTCCTTGCTTAACTCTGTTGCCAGAGACTGAAGCCTCAGCACTTCCCCGCTGCCTTTCATTTTACTTAGCCAGTGATTTGTACCCTTGGTCACCAGCTGCACAGGCGGCTGGGTCCCCAGAACCACAACCTCTGTCTCTATTTCAGTGGAGAGGGTGTCTGAAATTTGATTCCAGGGAGTAGAAAATGGAATAGTACCCCCTCCTGAAATAAAGATGCAGTCACCTGGGGTGGCTGCTATGCCTCTTCTGAGGGATTGGGGCATGAACACCTCATCCCCAGCCTTTGGAAAGGACTCCCAAAGTTGGGTTTAGGGTATTTGCCTGGCAAATGGTGACAGCGGGTGTCTATTCCTAATTTTAGCTGCCTCTCTAAGGTTTTAAGGAGTTTGTTTATGGATTCTGGAACTAAAAGAGATCTTAATGTTTCCTTGGCCCAGATGTCATTGAACGGTCAGAGGATGAAGGCAGAGAAACTTCCAGCTGAAGTGTTAGACATACCTTGGAAATCAATGTCAGTGATGAGAGCAGCTCAGCCACAATATCATATTGGAAGTCAGTGGGGAATAATAATTGAGCTGCAAGTTTTATTCCACACAATTTCTTGGGAATGCACTCCTGGGGTGAAGCCCAAGGCACGATTTGGCTGGCCATACAGTTTGCCAATCGGACTTGTGGATTCAGAAAAATTCTCGGATGCAAAATAAGCAAGAGGGACTGTGTGGAATATGGGCAGTAAAGTTCCTCTGGCTTCCATAACCCTCACCCAGAGAGGGAGCAGGGAACATTCTAGATCGAAAATGTTCTCTTCCTTCCAAAGACCTATGCAGATATCATCACATAATTTTCAAAGACAGAGAAAACCACAGAGCGAAAGCTCCTTTCCACTGAGCAAGAGTGTATAAATGTGTGTGGGTACACAGCCAGATGTCACTGTCTCCACTTGCCCCCCCCCCTTTGAAGTGTCACGGCTTCACATGAGAGGAGCGCTGTGAAAGTTTAACATCCTGAATATTTTTCCTTATACTATAGAACAAAGCACATTTAGTAAACACGTTAAAAATTCTTTAACAGAAATTTGGAATGGTTTTTTTTCGTAGGCCTTCAGTAAAGTGTGATATACTTTTTTTTTTTAATATTTGTGTATTTATTTATACAAGCACTGGGTACAGTCAGAAGTGCAGGAGGGTGAGAGAATTCACCAGAGCCAGAGCAGGGAGCAGAACAGGCAGAAGGACAGAAGTACACTGCTGAGGGGAGCAGCGGGCGGCAGGAGAGGTTTGTGTGCCATGTGGGACCCTCGCTGGTGGCCGGGGATCGAACCGGCGCTGCGGAGGCTGCTGGCAGCTTTGCAACCCAGCGCTCAACCGCTGCGCCACAGGGGAGGCCCATGTGTGATATACATTTTAGGAAAGAAAATTATGATCTTGCTTTGGGAACTGGGTAAGCTTAGAACCATAGAAGGTGGTAGGATGAAGTTGAGCCATGAGACTATTGTTTTGTAAAATGACAGAGTGAAAGGCATGGGCAGGAAGCAGAGAAACCTGCCTAGGACTCGGGCTGCAAGGCATAACTTGGAGCCCAAGTGTCAAGGATGGGCCCTGAAGTGTGACGACAAAAAAATTTCCACTACACATTTTTGGGGTACTGCAATGGAAAGAATGTAAAGTCCAAGTATTACCACGTGGTGACACACGAGGGCGCTCTAGCCGATCGGCGAATGCGAAAACCCGGAAAGGTTGCACAGATTTCAACCTGGGGGAGAGAAAGTCATTGCGGGTCCTTCTGAGGTGAATTCAGGTTTCTACCCATGATCGGGCTGCTCACCCGTGGCCCTTAAGTAGATGTGAGGAAGGAGCTACAAGCATCAGGGGCTGTGGTGAGAAGGTCAGGGTGTCATCTTGAAGAGAGTGCGAACAATCTAGAGAAGGGAGGATGGTGAGCAGAAGAGTGTTTCCTTACTTTATTTGGCTGCTGTAATATGTAAGACGCGGTAATAATCCCTATGGTTTTGAGAGTGCTTTCATATTTCAAAAATGATCTCTTTGACCCAAGCATCGAGCCTGTGAAGCTTATAGAGAAGAGGGTATTTATATCCAGTTCACTCACAGGCTGAGAGAGGGTAAGTGCTTGCCCGGAGCCCCAGAGCTCAAAAGTGCCCATGCCTCTGTCACCACCACCCCAGTCACGTGGTATAGTGGTCAGGGACACCTCTCGGCGACAGTGTGTACTTAGGAGACATTGTCCTTGTTGTCTTCAGCCTTCCGTATCTGACACCCAGACACCCTGGACCCCAAATCACCCAATGTAGCCCTCCCTCATGATAAGGATAAGAGCTGCCTGCTAGTGTTGAGCACTTAGGTGCCGGGTGAGCCCTGTTCCTA